TTAGCCGCCGACATTATTTCTCCCTCTACCAGCCCTTGGGGAGCGCCGATCGTCCTGGTTAAAAAGCAGGACGGCTCATTGCGGTTTTGCGTTGATTTTCGGCGCCTTAACAAAATTTCGGTTGCCGACGCATACCCGCTCCCACGGATGGACGAATCGCTGGACGCCTTGGCGGGAGCGCGATTCTTCTCCACGCTGGATTTACTTTCGGGATTCTGGCAGCTTCCTCTGGATGATGAATCGAAACCTAAAACTGCTTTCCGTACACCGCACGGCCTGTTCCAATTCAACCGGTTGCCGATGGGCTTACACTCAGCGCCGGCAACCTTCCAACGTTTGATGGAATTGGTTTTGGCTGGATTGCAATGGGAGTCGTGCCTGATTTATTTGGATGATGTTATTGTCTTCGCTAAAACTTTTGACGAACATCTCCAGAGGTTGCGGGCGGTTTTCCTAAAGATGCGGGCTGCTAATTTGAAGTTCAAGCCCCAAAAGTGTCATTTGTTACGCGATTCCGTGCGTTATTTGGGCCACATCGTAGGGCGCTCGGGTATTGCTACCGATCCCGCCAAAACGCAGTGTGTCAGCTCCTGGCCGACTCCCACCTCGGTGGGAGAGGTCAGGAGTTTCGTCGGCTTCGCGTCATATTACAGACGGTTCGTCGCCGACTTTGCAACAATTGCCAAACCCCTACACGCATTAACATCAAAAGGGGTTCGGTTCCACTGGGGTCAAGAGGAGGAGGCTGCTTTTTGCTCCCTTCGGGACGCCCTGGTAAAAGCTCCTCCCTTGATCTACCCCGATTTTTCAAAGCCGTTTCTGCTCGACACCGATGCGAGCAACACGGGTATTGGGGGCGTGCTTTCCCAGGTGGTTGACGGCGTCGAACGGGTGGTTGCGTACGGCAGTCGGGTGTTGTCTCAAGCAGAGCAAAGATATTGTGTCACCCGCAGAGAACTGTTGGCAATTGTCTATTTCATCCAACAGTATCGCCCATATCTGTACGGTCGGCGTTTCACCGTCCGCACAGATCATGCGGCACTGCAGTACGCCCTGCGAGTTCAACAGCCATCGGGACAATTGTCCCGATGGTTGGAGATCCTCCAGGATTTTGATTTCGACACCACATACCGTAAGGGCGTTCGCCACACCAACGCGGACGCTCTGTCGCGCATGCCAACCACCTCGGAATGTGCGTGCCTCCTGGTGTCGGGACGTTGCAAGCCAGCAGGGGACGTGTCGGTTCCGGGCCTTGCGGCCGCCGCCGACGGCGGGACAGTTGTTCCGAATTCTATTGAACAACAAGGGAAAGATTCCCTGCTGGGTTTGCACATTCAGGAATGGGGGCGCCTCCAGATGGAGGATACCTCCCTCCTCGCGTTGCGTCGTCGCGCCGGGGAGGCAGGGCGGGGATCGGGTGATGCCGACGCATGGGAAATGCACGCGGGGTTGCTGTTGCACTGGGACGGAAAATCCCACCGACACCGGCTGGTGGTCCCTTCGGGCTTACGGGGTAGGGTGGTGTGGGCTGCTCATGAGCGCCTCCTCCACCTGGGTACCCAAAAGACCCTCGCCTTGCTCCAGCGTGATTTCTTTTGGCAAGGCATGACAAGGGATGTCTCAGATCTGTTGGCTTCATGCCCGCGGTGTGCACAGCGAAAACCACCAGCACGAGAATCAAACCCGCCCTTGCAGTCTATCAGGGTCTCCAGAGTAAACGAACTTGTCGCGCTGGATATTCTGGGCCCATTCCCCGCCACCCCTAGGGGTAATAGATATTTGTTAACCGGGGTCGAGTACTTTACGCGCTGGCCTATGGCCTGGCCCCTGGCCAATCAGTCGGCAGCAGCCATCGTCGACGCCTTTGTCCAAGGCTATGTCATGGACAAAGGTGCCCCGGAGCGGCTGCTGACCGACCAGGGTAGAAATTTTTCCGGAAAACTCCTCCAACAGGTTTGTGAGCTCCTAGGAACGAAAAAGATTCGTACTTCCCCCTATCACCCGCAAACTGACGGGATGGTCGAGCGTCTGCATCGCACCATCTCGTCTATGTTATCACAGCAGGTTTCGGACTCACAGACTGATTGGGACTTGAAAATCCAAGGGGTCTTGGCAGCATACAGATTGGCCCCCCATGCTGCAACGGGATTTTCACCATTCTTCCTCATGTATGGGCGCTACCCTGACCCACCCATTCGGGCGCAGCTGCAGATCCCCACACCACTGGATAAAACAAAATTGATTGACCATGTCAAATTCAACCTTGAAAAATTGACTGAGGCACGGGATGCTGCCATGCTAAATTCAGAACAGCGTCAAAAAGCAAATGAGCGCCTCAGACTGGGTCGCGCGCACGTGCTGCAGTGGAAGCCGGGGGACAGGGCATGGCTGCACTGCCCCCAGGTACCACTCGCAACATCCCCTAAACTGGCGCGGCCGTGGAGGGGTCCTGTAGAGGTGGTCGAGGTTCTGCAGCCTCAGTGTGTTCGCATCAAATGGGGGAAGCGCCGGTGGTTTGTGCACCCCTCGAGACTAAAACCATTCGTTGCGGTGCGAGGCCCCACTCCACACATGCGTGGCCAAACATGTGGGGGGTCGGCCGACTCAAAGGGTCCGTCCTTGCTGCCCTCGCCTGACGTGTCGCCGGCTGTCCCGCCCACAGGTGCACCGGGATTGACGGGCTCGCACCCACCTACCGCTGCGAGGGATGCCGAGGGTCTCGCGACGTCAAACGCGGACTCAATACGGAATGAACAACTGCCACCGGCCGGTCCGCCATCCGGGGTTGCCCCGTGTGACGGGCCTGCAGCAAGGACGCGCGCAAAAATGCGCAGACTCTTATGATGCATTGGAAGAACACTTAATTCTCTTGTGTACGGTTGCGGGGTGCTGCGTCGGTGGGGAGCTCCTGCCACATTTTTGTTGTGTTGCATGTGTGCTAGGGGTTCCCTGCTAAACCTGTATATACGTCGCTCTTACGGAATTCGTATTTATTCAGGGGGGGTGCGTCGGATTGTTCCCTTCGGGGTTTGTGGGTTGTTGTTGTTGTTGTTGTTGTTCCCTTCATGTTATCGTTAAAACGTTTTTTTGAGGCACACGCGGGGATCCAGGGGTTAATTAACCTTTATTGAAGTTGTTGCAGCCGGGACGGCTGCGAGCTGTACAGGGGGGGGTGATGTAGGGCTGTTACAGAGGGGCTGTTTGTGTAGGGCTGTTTGCATAGGAGCTAACGGATAACAAACACAGTGGGCGGGGACTCCGTGAGTACACGGGGTGGTGCCCGCAACGACGTCCGCACCGGACGGCGTGAGGGGGGTTTCGATCCTCTAGGGGGGTATAAAAAGGGATGAGCCAGAGAGCTCGGGGTTCAGTCTTGGAGTAATTAAGGGAAGACGGAAGACCGGCCAGATAGGCCCTGGACTCCCCCTGGGACGCCGCCCTTGTAAGGGCAGCGCAGGCTGGAGCCAGTGGCGTGGTCCCGGAACCAGAGTTAGTCCTCTGGGACTCCGGGTACCGTAGCCCGACTGACCAGTGTCGGGCCAGACAGCCTCCCCTAGCCCGTTAGTGGAGGACTCGGGTAGGAAGGCTAGCTAGAGGTGTATTCCCAGTTATACGGGTGAGGGGGCCGATACACCCCTCCAGTGCTGTACGACATTGTGTAAATAAATACGTGTGCCTTACTACGGTGTCCAAGCGTCTTCAAGAGTACTTCACAAAGATAAGCCGTATAGCCTTTGCAGAATTTTGGAGTAAGTGCGGTGAGCGAGCATCTATGAAAGCTGAATATGCACACGAGGGTGTGGGTAGCCAGCACCACGACCTTTATCTCCCCAGTAGCGATGCTTACACACAGCACCAGGTACACATTTGAGGCCGAGTCGACCTAGGGGAAGGCCAGGACCGATTCAGATAATCGTCATTGTTGTTGGCCGTGAGCAGGAATCGAACTCGGGTCGCCGGGTTCGAAGCACAGCGCGCTAACCAACAACACCACCACCGCCATCATCACCATCAAAGACAAAAATCTCCACTATAGCCTTAACAGACTGTAGGAGCAAGTGCTGTTAGCGAGTAGTACCTATGAAGGCCGGCACGGCATCACCACCATCAACACCACCACGACTGTCGTCAAAACTAAAGAAAACAGAAGCACCATCCTCGTCATCATTCAATATTCGTCATCAAAGACATCTTTTTAGGCCTTTAGGGGTTAGATACAATAGGTAATAGCACTTTTCAGGAAGTCAACTAGCATCACCCAGTACAGCACACAGCAACACCCAACACAGCACCACCCAGCACAGCACCCAACACAGCACCACCCAGCGCAGCACATAACACAGCACCACCCAGTGCAGCACTCAACACAGTACCACCCAGTACAACACTTAACACAACACCACCCAACACAGCACTTAACACAGCACCACCCAGAACAGCACCACCCAGTACAACACTTAACACAACACCACCCAGTACAACACCCAACACAGCACCACCCAGCACAACACTTAACACAGCACCACCCAGTGCAGCACATAACACAGCAGCACCCAGTGCAGCACTCAACACAGCACCACCCAGCACAACACTTAACACAGCACCACCCAGTACAACACTTAACACAACACCACCCAGCACAACACCCAACACAACACCACCCAGCACAACACCCAACACAGCACCACCCAGTACACTCAACACAGCACCACCCAGTACAACACTCAACACAGCACCACCCAGCACAGCACTTAACACAGCACCACCCAGCACAGCACTTAACATAGCACCACCCAGCACAACACCCAACACAGCACTACCCAGTATAGCAGCCAACACAGCACCACCCAGCACAGCAGAGCTGTCATCCCATGACTCCCTCCCTGCGTCTCCCCGCACCTCCCCCCAGCCAACTCCGAGCTGCACCTCCCCCCGTGCTCCCTCCCCCAATCGCCCCTCCCCTCCATCCACAAGCCCCGCCCCTCGGAGAGCCACGCTTGGCTCCGCCCCGCGGGCCGCGTGTCTCCGCCACGCCATTAACAACACAATAAGTAACATTGTAAAATACGCTTTAATGAAATGTACCGTACGAGTAATGGCAAAACTCCACGACTCCAGGAAGTGGCCCCGAAGCTTGCCATAACGTAAGGGACCGTGGTGATTTACAGCCAATGTGAGTTGAGCATGGACAAAAAGCGTGTAATTAGACCCAATCCGAAACGTAACATAAAAAAATATTATATAGTATTGTCGTCAGTATGACATACATACATATACCAAGTTTGCAGTCGATAAAACATTGGGAAGTGGGTAAAAATTGAGTTACAAGATCTGAGGATACGACAACAGAGTGAGTTTATAAAAGCGTGTAAAAAATACCACCATCTGCTTAACAGTGTGTACAACATACTATTGCGCCATTCAAAACGAGTAGGCCATTGCATGCTGGCGTCTGGGTAAAAATTTTGCAAATTCTAAGCATTACAGTACCTACAAACTACACAACTGAGATGCCACATCAACCATCGCCCCCTACTGACAGGCTCTTGTCCACATGCAGGCCTGTGCAGGGCCACCACCTTGTGCCACACAAGGGGAGCTGCTACTTGGGGATGCTCTTCGAGTGTTTCAGATGAGATACGATGCAAAACTCCGAATTTCCCAGGTGATTAAGCAAGCACCATGGAAATGCAATTGATAACATAGTGAATGCTTGGGAGCTTATTGGCTCTCGCTCCTGGTTAGAGATCTACCCAACCCACAGGTCCACAAAGACTGGCCGCTCTTACTCTGCAGGTTGCACCTAGGTTGAGTGTTCAAGTTCACATTCTTTTCATTAAAGGCCTGTGACAAAGGTGCATCTATTGGAGCGACATCGTCTCAGGCTACACATCTACCGGGTCTCCATTTGACTTTGTATTGTCTTGGAGGAAGTCCACCCACACCTCCACTTCCACAAACTGCTGGGAGCTGCCTCGCTCTGCCTCAGAATTCTCCTCCTGCTTCACGTTGCCACCATCGATGTGAAGGTCCGATTTTGGAGTTGAATCGTCATCACATTTCACCTTCACTTCTTCGCTCTTCACCATTACTTCTTCACATTTCACCTTCACCTCTTCATATTTCACCTCAATACCTTTAAAAGTGTCCAAGCTGGGATTTTCTTCCGGTTCTTGTTTCGTGAGGGATGGGCTCATTGTGGCACGTTGACTTTCACAAGCTGATTTCAGACTCCACTCCTTGTGGATCTTCTGGTGCTTATGTGTTCTCTGGTGTCTTTGAAGATGTGGTGACTGTGAAAACGCAATCCCACACGGAGTGCACCTGAATGGGTTCTCTCCCGTGTGTGTTCTCTGGTGTGCTACAAGAGTAGATAACTGTGCAAACGCCTTCCCACACACACTGCACTTGAAGGGTTTCTCTCCCGTGTGTGTTCTCTGGTGTGCTACAAGAGGAGATGACTGTGCAAACGCCTTCCCACACACACTGCACTTAAAGGGTTTCTCTCCCGTGTGTGTTCTCTGGTGTGCTACTAGAGTAGATGAATGCGCAAACGCTTTCCCACAAACACTGCACTTGAAGGCTTTCTCTCCCGTGTGGGTTCTCTGGTGTGTTACAAGATTATATGAATCTGAAAACGCCTTCCCGCACAGAGTGCACTTGAAGGGGTTATCTGCTGTGTGTGTTCTCTGGTGTTTTTTAAGAGCAGATGGATGTGAAAATGCCTTCCCACACACATTGCACCTGCAGCGTTTCTCTCCCGTGTGTGTTCTCTGGTGTACTACAAGAGTTGATGAAAGTGCAAACGCCTTCGCACACACACTGCACTTGAAGGGTTTCTCTCCCGTGTGTGTTCTCTGGTGTATTACAAGAGCAGATGACTGTGCAAATGCCTTCCCACACACACTGCACTTGAAGGGTTTCTCTCCCGCGTGTGTTCTCTGGTGTTTTACAAGATTAGATGACTGTGCATACGCCTTCCCACACACACTGCACTTGAAGGGTTTCTCTCCTGTGTGTGTTCTCTGGTGTGCTACAAGAGAAGATGACTGTGTAAACGCCTTCCCACACGCACTGCACTTGAAGGGTTTCTCTCCCGTGTGTGTTCTCTGGTGTGCTACAGGAGTATATGACCGTGCAAACGCATTCCCACACACACTGCACTTGAAGGGTTTTTCTCCCACGTGTGTTCTCTGGTGTGTTACAAGAGCAGATGACTGTGAAAACGCCTTCCCACACACGCTGCACTTGAAGGGTTTCTCTCCTGTGTGAGTTCTCTGGTGCAAGGTCAAATTTCCAGTACGATCCGTGCTGTATGCACACCGGTCGCATTGTTGCATTGTCGTACCGAGCCGTGCCGTGTGCCTTTGCTCCATCAGACCAATTCTGCAGAGGAAGCAACAGTATCGAGGCACAGAGGAATGCATATTTCCACAGTCACACGTGACTTACATGTCTATACTTATTGATATATTCATGATATAGTGAAAAAGTATCCCACATTCATCACACGGGCTGTTATGACATACAATGAGAGGGCAAATGGTCACAAACATGCCTGGAAGCCCTAGTATCTTCAAAATGAATGTTAACCCAAAAACTCCGAGCACACAATTTCGGCTGTTTGGCTTCAAAAGGAATATTTATGAAAGCTAAATTCAGCTGACATAGCAAAGGGTGTTGAACATAATACTATTTGTGTTATGCAGAAATGCATAAATTCATGTTCAATCGCAACTTAGAGGTGTGAAGCCAGGCACAGATGTCCTTGAATGCTGGTATGAACAGTTCCGACTTCAGCTGCACGTGTGCTGTGATAACATCCCGACTCCATTCTTACAAAGAGTTCCAGAGGAAAACTAAAATAAACTACCGTTTTGATATAACCTCTGTGCTCAATAGAGTTAATAGACTTTACTGCAAATACAAACTTAACTTGACACTGTCACACACTCAGAGGCGGAGCCAGGATTTTCAGGTAGGGGGGGGAAACCCCTTCAGCAATGAAAAATGATAGGAGTTGTTAGTAAGTAAGGAGTTGTTAGTAAGGAGTTGTTACTAAGTAAAAACTTGTCCTATGATTTTTATTCAAAGCGTGATCGGCATCGCGCTCGCTGAAGGTGTTTGCCTTCAGGGAAGTCGTGTACTGTATAAGCAACTGCGCAAATTTCTGTAGCAGTGGGGGTCGTAAAATGCCGATTTATATATATAAAAAATGGAAATGTGTGGATACGTGTGTCAGTTCTAAATGTTTAGCATACTTCCCAACATGCTACACACTTGAAATTTGGCATGTGCATAGGTTCCATACTGTACACAATGAAAAAAGTATGAAAATAGACTTTTGTATTTTGAGGGGGCGGGGGAAATTACCATGAAGTGTGTGGCGTCAACCTACAACACACCCGAGTTAAGCCCTCAGCAATGCTTACCCCAACCATATGGCTCTTCGCTTGCCGTATTTCTAGAGCTGTTAACAGCTTGGCGGGAGATTCTAGGTGGCGCTTCGCTACTGGCCGATGAATCCATTGGCTTCTCGGAGTTTCAATACATATCCGTGCGAAGAAAGGGTACAACGGCTATCCTAAATATAAAGCAGTAAATACATCTTATTGGTTCTTTCGGTAAAGTCACGTAGTAGGGAAGTAATAAAGTAAAATTATTTTAATAAAAAAAAATTATTTTTTATTTTATTACTTCCCTACTACGTGACTTTACCGAAAGAACCAAGAAGATGAATCCCTGCAGTCACGAAAGCTTTAAATCGAAAAACAGTAAATACATGTTTGTTTGCGTGAAGCAGCAAAAACTCTCCAACGCTGAACTCTGGCGTCAATACATTTTCAAAGCTTATGTTGTCTGGAATTTCGAAGTGAACGCTACTTTTTTCAGCTCGCAATGTCATTCCCTTCCCGAGTGGCCAAAATCGACCTTACATAGAAGTGGGTTAAGGTTGAATTTCCTTGAGTGAAAACATCCGATTTTAAGTGATTTGTTTCGGCTTTTTACTTTCTTGCAAGCATACATTTTTTTCCAGGGTTTTTCAATGAAATATAAGGGAATATGAAATTAATCCAAGACAAGAATCCAAGTCCCGGGCGAAGCCGGGTAGTGAAGCAAGTTACTAATAAACCCCAATGATCCGATTTGAAATGAGGGATTTCGATCGGATCGTTAGGGGGGCACGTGCCACCCCACCCCTACTGGCTCCGCCACTGTCACACACTGGCATGGTTGACAGGTGGTGGTGTGACCAGACACACGCCTGGCCACCTTCACCTGCTCAGTATTAATGCTTCCTCACTCCACCAAAAAATCAACACAGCCGAGTTTGCGTGTCTCTCTCTCTCCCCGTAGTCGCGTGGATTTCCCTCCGGATCCCGCACCTCCACGCGTCCAGAGTGAACACCGCCACGCGTCCAGAGTGAACACCTCCACGCGTGCAGAGTGAACACCGCCAAGCGTCTAGAGTGAACACCGCCACGTGTCCAGAGTGAACACCGCCACGCGTCCAGAATATACACCGCCACGCGTCCAGAGTGAGCACCTCCACGCGTCCAGAGTGAACACCACCACACGTCTAGAGTGATCACCACCACGCGCCTAGAGTGAACACCACCAAGCGCCTAGAGTGAACACCACCACGCGCGTAGAACACCACCACGTGCCAAGTGAACAACACCACGTGCCTAGAGTGAACACCACCACGTGCCTAGAGTGAACACCGCCAAGCACCTACAGCACCATGTGCTTAGTGAACACCACCACGCGCCGAGAGTGAACACCGCTACGTGTCTAGAGTGAACACCGCCACGCGTCCAGAGTGAACACCACCACGTGCCTAGTGAACACCACCACGCGCCTAGAGTGAACACCGCCAAGCACCTAGAGCACCACGTGCCTAGTGAACACCACCACGCGCCGAGAATGAACACCGCCACGTGTCTAGAGTGAACACCGCAAAGCGTCTAGAGTGAACACGCCACGCGTCCAGAGTGAACACCGCCACGTGTCCAGAGTGAGCACCGTCACGCGTCTAGAGTGAATACCGCCACGCTTTTAGAGTAAACACCACCACGCTTCTAGAATGAACACCGCCACGCGTCTATAGTGAACACGCCACGCGTGTAGAGTGACCACCGCCACGCGTCTAGAGTGAACACTGCCACGCGCCTAAAGTGAACACCACGTGTCTAGAGTGAACACTGCCACGCGTCTAGAGTGAACACCGCCACGCGTCTAGAGTGAACACCGCCACGCATCTAGAGTGAACACCGCCACGCGCCTAGAGCACCACGTGCCTAGTGAACACCGCCACGCGTCTAGAGTGAACACCATCACGCGCCTAGAGCACCACGTGCCTAGTGAACACCGCCACGCGTCTAGAGTGAACACCGCCACGCGTCTGGAGTGAACACCGCCACGCGCCTAGAGCACCACATGCCTAGTCAACACCGCCAAGCGCCTAGAGTGAACACAGCCAAGCACCTAGAGCACCACGTGCCTAGTGAACACCGCAAAGCACCTAGACTGAACACCACCAAGCGTCCAGAGTGAACACCGCCACGCGTCCAGAGTGAACACCGCCACACGTCCAGAGTGAGCACCGCCACGTGTCCAGAGTGAGCACCGCCACACTTCTAGAGTGAACACCGTCACACGTCTATAGTGAACACGCCACGCGTCTAGAGTGAACACCGCCACGCGTCTAGAGTGAACACCGCCACGCGTCTAGAGTGAACACCGCCACGCGCCTAGAGTGAACACCGCCACGCGTCCAGAGTGACCACCGCCACGCGTCTAGAGTGAACACCGCCAAGCGCCTAAAGTGAACACCACCACGTGTCTAGAGTGAACACCGCCACGCGTCTAGAGTGAACACCGCAACGCGTCTAGCGTGAACACCGCCACGCATCTAGAGTGAACACCGCCACACGCCTAGAACACCACGTGCCTAGTGAACACCGCCACGCACCTAGAGTGAACACCGCCACGCGTCTAGATTGAACACCGCCACGCGTCTAGAGTGAACACGCCATGCGTCCAGAGTGAGCACCGCCACGCGTCCAGAGTGAACACCGCCACGCGTCGATAGTGAACAGGCCACGCGTCTAGAGTGAACACGCCACGCGTCCAGAGTGAGCACCGCCACGCGTCCAGAGTGAACACCACCACGCGTCTAGAGTGATCACCACCACGCGCCTAGAGTGAACACCACCAAGCGCCTAGAGTGAACACCACCACGCGCGTAGAACACCACCACGTGCCAAGTGAACAACACCACGTGCCTAGAGTGAACACCACCACGTGCCTAGAGTGAACACCGCCAAGCACCTACAGCACCATGTGCTTAGTGAACACCACCACGCGCCGAGAGTGAACACCGCTACGTGTCTAGAGTGAACACCGCCACGCGTCCAGAGTGAACACCACCACGTGCCTAGTGAACACCACCACGCGCCTAGAGTGAACACCGCCAAGCACCTAGAGCACCACGTGCCTAGTGAACACCACCACGCGCCGAGAATGAACACCGCCACGTGTCTAGAGTGAACACCGCAAAGCGTCTAGAGTGAACACGCCACGCGTCCAGAGTGAACACCGCCACGCGTCCAGAGTGAGCACCGCCACGCATCTAGAGTGAATACCGCCACGCTTTAGAGTAAACACCACCACGCTTCTAGAATGAACACCGCCACGCGTCTATAGTGAACACGCCACGCGTGTAGAGTGACCACCGCCACGCGTCTAGAGTGAACACTGCCACGCGCCTAAAGTGAACACCACGTGTCTAGAGTGAACACTGCCACGCGTCTAGAGTGAACACCGCCACGCGTCTAGAGTGAACACCGCCACGCATCTAGAGTGAACACCGCCACGCGCCTAGAGCACCACGTGCCTAGTGAACACCGCCACGCGTCTAGAGTGAACACCATCACGCGCCTAGAGCACCACGTGCCTAGTGAACACCGCCACGCGTCTAGAGTGAACACCGCCACGCGTCTGGAGTGAACACCGCCACGCGCCTAGAGCACCACATGCCTAGTCAACACCGCCAAGCGCCTAGAGTGAACACAGCCAAGCACCTAGAGCACCACGTGCCTAGTGAACACCGCAAAGCACCTAGACTGAACACCACCAAGCGTCCAGAGTGAACACCGCCACGCGTCCAGAGTGAACACCGCCACACGTCCAGAGTGAGCACCGCCACGTGTCCAGAGTGAGCACCGCCACACTTCTAGAGTGAACACCGTCACACGTCTATAGTGAACACGCCACGCGTCTAGAGTGAACACCGCCACGCGTCTAGAGTGAACACCGCCACGCGCCTAGAGTGAACACCGCCACGCGTCCAGAGTGACCACCGCCACGTGTCTAGAGTGAACACCGCCAAGCGCCTAAAGTGAACACCACCACGTGTCTAGAGTGAACACCGCCACGCGTCTAGAGTGAACACCGCAACGCGTCTAGCGTGAACACCGCCACGCATCTAGAGTGAACACCGCCACACGCCTAGAACACCACGTGCCTAGTGAACACCGCCACGCACCTAGAGTGAACACCGCCACGCGTCTAGATTGAACACCGCCACGCGTCTAGAGTGAACACGCCACGCGTCCAGAGTGATCACCACCACGCGCCTAGAGTGAACACCACCAAGCGCCTAGAGTGAACACCACCACGCGCCTAGAACACCACCACGTGCCAAGTGAACAACACCACGTGCCTAGAGTGAACACCACCACGCGCCTAGAGTGAACACCGCCAAGCACCTACAGCACCATGTGCTTAGTGAACACCACCACGCGCCAAGAGTGAACACCGCTACGTGTCTAGAGTGAACACCGCCATGCGTCCAGAGTGAACACCACCACGTGCCTAGAGCACCACGTGACTAGTGAACACCACCACGCGCCTAGAGTGAACACCGCCAAGCGCCTAGAGCACCACGTGCCTAGTGAACACCACCACGCGCCGAGAATGAACACCGCCACGTGTCTAGAGTGAACACCGCAAAGCGTCTAGAGTGAACACGCCACGCTTTTAGAGTAAACACCACCACGCTTCTAGAATGAACACCGCCACGCGTCTATAGTGAACACGCCACGCGTCTAGACAGTCCCTCCAGAAAAACGCGATTATGCGATCGCAAGATTCCACGCAAAATCAGCCAAAGTCCGCATATTTATGCGGGGGGCGCGTTTTTTCAAATACGCCGCACTTTCGCCGCATAAAATGCAGATTTCCGCGCGCAAAATATGCGGGCTTGCATGATTTCATAATCCCCGCATTTTCGTTGCAAAAAGTCACATATATCTTAGCAGAAAGTTGAAAAATGTTGCGTTTACTTCACACAAGCGCAGCCATTTCCCCTGTTGCCATGGGAACGTTATGAAGTGACGTCACTCATTACAGTTGTAAGATTGCACTTTTTTGTTAGTAGTATGTAAATTTACATTACTGTAAGACTGTACTGTTACTGTATTGCTTACGTTACTGTGCACTGAAAACACTTATTTTAACAGAAGATGTCTGTTTTGTATAGCTACCTCTG